TACAATAAGTAATTGAGTGATACATTAACCAAAATTTATGTTTTTCAATAACAATAAAATGGGATTCAGCATGTTACTAGTTGAATTATGTTATTTAAAACAAAAGAAAATGCTTTTCTCATATGAAATTTTATTTTCTTTAATCAGTAAGTAGATAATTATATTATGATAAATAAAGAAAAGCACAAGACCGCAACATACAAGGTATGACAAATTATACCGTACATTCAATTGTACAGTGCACACTATATAACCAAATTCTTGTAATAATTCGCAACTTAAATGTCATTAATTAGAGGGAAAAGGTGCAAATATGCCCATGTACTAACCATAAAAGGTCAAATAAGCCCTTATTTAGGATGTTCTGTCCGGTCGTCGTCATTTGGGGTGGTTCCCGGTGGATTTTTTTGATGAAATTTTTTGAGCATCTTATTCATCAAGTCTAGTTTGCTCATACCAAATTTCAGCCAAAACTTCAATCGAGAAGGCATTCAAATAAATTCTTGAAGATAACTGCGCTTCTAACTGCGCGGTTATTTTCAAGAATTCATTTGAATGCCTGCCCGATTGAAGTTTTAGCTGAAATTTGGTATGAGTAAACTAGACTTAATGAATAAGATGCTCAAAAAATTTCATCAAAAAATTCGACCGGGAACCACTCCAAATGGTGACGGCCGGACAAAGCTTCCTAAATAAGGGCTTATTTGACCTTTTTTGGTTAGTACATGGGCCTATTTGCACCTTTTCCCTTAATTAGATTCTTGTAATTTGCTTGCTGGCTTCTTGTAATAATTTACAATTTAAATGTTATTAATTAGATTCTTCACTCCACCTTTTCTTCTATCCATGCCTCATATGTTTACTTGTTCATCATTTCTCCTGCATATAATTCATCCTTTTTCTTTTTTCTTATTTCAAATAAATAGTGTTTAATTCTTATCTAAGTTTATGTGAATTTGAAAAAATAAAATACTTTTATTTATTTTTTTAAAAACTACTATATGTTGATCATTTTAAATTCCCTCGTTAATATTGATTCCCGCTAATTGTTCAAAAAATATTAAAGTGAATACATTTTTAAAAAATGAATATCTTGCTTTGTGACAAATATATTATGCGTGAGATTTATAGAAATGAATTTTACATTATACTTAAATGAGAATAAGGTTTCAAAAATATGAGCATTGGAAATCAACATGATAAAAATTTTAATGAATATACATAATTTATGAGTATATTGCTTAAAATAAATGTGCATTGATGTAGCATTATAAAGAAAAAATTGAAAATAATAATCTCAACTAATACCGGTCCTCTAGTAATAATTTCAACTATCGATTATTTCTGGGTGATCCCAACTATAGGGACTATTTTCCAAATATAGTCTCTAACCGGCTACAACCTGGTGCAACATGTCAAATTTAAATGTGAATTATGTGTAAGCTATAAATAATCATAACTATAGTCGATCTTCTTTTATTAATCTTAATTATCAACTCTCAATTTAAAAAAATATATAAAAAATACTTTTAAAAATTGCCAAATTAAATAACTTTAAACATGTAAAAATAATTATGAAAATTCTACAAATGTACAAAAGTTAAATAAAAATATTTTTAGTCCTTTTTATTTATTTTCACTAAAAAATCGTTTTTTTTTTCTTTTTTCAAATTTATTTTTCTTAGTTGTGTTACAAGTTATGATTTTGTGATATTTTCCACTATTCAATTTTACATTTTGTGTTTCAAAAAGTATATTGTGATTAAAAAAAATTACAATTTAAATCTTTATTCTAAATTTTTTCATGAAAATATATTCTATTAAATTTTTTTACTTTCTTAGTTTTGAAAATCAAAACTATCTATTTCTTCAATTTTAGTATTTTATTATTTCTTTATGTTTTCTTTATTTTATGTTATTATATTCTATAAATTATATGATATAGTTTATCATTGAATTCTAGTGATTTGGGACATAGGATTTGGAGGTTTTGGTTATCTTAATAAAAATGAAGTAATATTTTAATTTTAAGTGATAAATGTTTTCTACATATTTTACAATTTCCATTATAAAATGAACACATTAATACATTAATGTGTTAATGGAAAGGGAAAATGGAAACTAATAATCCAACCTTTTAGCGGTCTTCTTACAATAATCTCACCTTTATTAGTTTCCATTTTCCCTTCCCATGAGATTATTATTTTCAATTTTTCCCATTATAGAATGAACACAATAGAACTAATATTACTATAATTTATTTTATTTGAACAAATAAACCAATGTATATTACTCCGTATAAAGTTTGCTAGCAAAAAATATATATGATTTATATAATGTTTATACAATATGAGTATAATGTTTATACAATGAGCCCGTTTGGTAGCACGAAAATCGGCTGTTTTGGCTGATTCTGCTGAAATTTATGAAATTCTGGCTGAAGTGGCTGTTTTGGCTGATTCTGCTGATTCAAGAAAAAAATATTTTAAAAATATATTTTATTAATAAATTATAGAAAAAATTACATGTAAAAATAGCTAAAATAGTCCTCTACAGTAACTTCAGTCAATACAGCAAGAAAAGTAACCTCAACCTTACTTTTTCTGCTTATTACACAATTCAGCACACAAAAGTAAAAGTTACGTGTTTGGTGAAAAAGCTGACTGATAAGTCTGATAAGCCGAAAAAAGAGGTCTCCAAACGGGCTCAATATGTCCATTGAATTATTATAGATAAAGTTTGAAAATGGGCAAAAGACAAGAATGAGCATACCTTACTTATGAAATGTGCATCAATATAAAATGTTAGAATAAAATAAATAGAAGTAATGTGTCATCCTTACGTGTAAATTATTGAAATGAGTTTTGTGGTATACAACAATGAGTATAGAGTTTAAATTAAATGTGCATTAATGAAACATTATAAAACGGGCATAATTGAGCGTCTTTGGCATTCAGCAGATGGCGGATTTTTTTAACGGGTTGTCAATAGCGGATACGATCAGAGGATTTGACTAGCAGAGTAAATTGGCGAGTTGTCAGAAGATGTTTGGTAATTTTGCTGTTTGGCCATAAAATTAGTAGAAAACGCCAACCTAAAACTCTTCTATTAGCAGCATTTTCATTTCAGCGTTTTCGTCCAAAAACGCTGGTGCCGAACAGTTATTCACCAAATAGCTTTTTCAATTATTGAAAAGTGAAAACGCTAAAATTGGTCAAACCGTCATTTTTCAGCTGAAACGCCATTTACCAAACACCACTAGGCATGGACCCGGGCCGGTTCGGGAAAAGGAGGCCCGGAACCGACCCGGGTAACCCCCGGGTCCGGGCCGGGCCGGTTCAAAAAAAAAATTGCCTTTTCCTAATTAACCCCTAACCCCCCCCCCCCCCCCCCAAATCATCCCAAACCATCTCAAATGACCCAAAATACCCAGCCCAACCCCAAAACTTAAAAAAAATAAAAAAAAAAAGAAAAAAAATGGGCTAGACCGGGCGCGAACCGGCCGGTTCACGTTTTGAGGGGCCCGAGCCCAGACCGGAACCCCAGCGGGTCGGGCCTACCCGAACCGGTCACTGACCGGGCCACCGGGCCGGGCCGGGCCGGAACAGTGCCGGTTCCGGGTCGGGCCACCCGGCCCGAGTCCAACCCTGAACACCACATTATCATTTTTTGGCCGTAATTAAATGGAAGACGAAGAGTCACTCAGACAATGAGAACAGGTAAAGTTTGGATGTGGATTGTGGAACGAAGGTGTTCAAACTTCTTATGTTGAGTACTGGCTGGCCACTGGCCAGGGACAGATGCAACATGTAAGGGTGTTTACGATTGCTTAAAAACACCTCTGCATTTTTTTTTACAGAAGTAAAAGTAGTGTTTTCAAAGCTCAACCCTGAGAACATTAAACTAAAAACTAGGGGGGGACTCAGGCCGGGCGGCCCGCCCCGGAACCGGCCCGAACCAGTTACTGTTTGAACCGGCCCGAACCGCCAGCCCGGCCAGGGACCGGTCCGGGTAGGCCCGACCCGCTGGGGTTCCGAGCCGGGTTCGGGCCCCTCAAAGGGTGAACAGGCCCGGCCGGTTCGGGCCCAGTCCAGGCCAATTTATTTTTTTTTCTTTTTTTTTTCTATTTTTTTATGTTTTAGGGTTGGGGCGTTGGGCTAGGTATTTTGGGCCATTTGAGGTGGTTTGGGGTGGTTTGGGGGTGAGGGGGAGGGTTGGGGGTTAATTAGGAAAAGCCAAAAATATATACTCCGTATATAAATTGAACCGAGGCCCGGCCCGGCCCGGCCAGGCCCGGACCCGGGGGTTACTCGGGCCGGTTCCGGGCCTCCCCTTTCATGAACCGAGGCCCGGCTGGGTCCAGGCCCGAACCGGCCCAAGTCCACCCCTACTAAAAACAGGGGAAAGTGCTTAGAACTGTTTTCCACTTTTTGTGGATCATTTTACCTAACTAATTCACAAATATGGCTGGACTCGGGCCGGTTCGGGCCCGGTTCGGGCCTGGGCCCGGCCGGGCCTCGGGCCAGAAAACTAGGGCCCGGGCCCGAACCGCCGGTGGGCGGTTCCGGTTCCGGTTCCGGGCCAAACCGGGCCGGGCCGGGCCGGGCCGAACCGGCCCACTTAATTTTTTTTTTTTTTTTGGTCTCCTATTTAATCCCCTACCCCTCCCCCTCAACCCCAAACCATCCCAAACCACCTCAAATGGCCCAAAATACCTAATCCAACCTAAAACTTAAAAAAATTTCAAAAAAAAAAAAAAAAAAAATTAAAATCCGGCCCGGACCGGGCCCGAACCGGCCGGGCCGGTTCACCAAAACCTGGGCCCGGGCCCGAACCGCCCAGCAGCCGGGCCGGGCCGAACCGAACCGGTGGACCCACCGGGCCCCGGGCCGGGCCGGGCCTAACAGTAACCGGGCCGGGCCGGTTCCGGGCCGGGCCGCCCGGCCCGAGTCCAGCACTATTCACAAATATATTTGTTACCAAGAACTCCAACCTTCACTTTTATGAAACTATTACTACTTCATATTACTATCAAATACCACCAACTTTTCAAACCGAGACAATTTGAAGAAAAAAGTATTGTAATTTTAAACCAAAATTTGTTAAGAATAATTCCAGGTTTTATCACTTACAAACGGTACGCACGACGGCACGAGGATTAAGATAATAAATAACGTAACCTATTAAAAGACCGCCATCTAATCCTTTATTCTCTCACAACTTAACTACTGTCTAAAGCCATAAGTTTCCTTTTCTTTGATAATTTCTCTGAAGGCTGGAAGTCATTGTGCTCACCAGCGAAATGGGCAGCTGTGCGAGCTCGTAGTTCCTCCAAGGTCTCTCCTACTTTTGCTCTTTCCAAAACCTGGGAGAAAGGAAAACCAATGAAGAGTAGGCTCATATAAAATTCCACATCATCATAAAATTGTTAAGGGGGCTTACCAAATGACGACCATAAAAGTGAGTACTAGAAAGGGCTTCAAAGGCGTTTTGAGCTTCTTGCTTCGTTACAAATTCTACAAATGCAAAGCCTCTATGGCTCCCAGACCTCATTGGCAGCCTTAAGCTCTTGATCTGTGGGTGAAAAGAAATCCATCATGTTATACAAAAATTTATGCAGCAATGTATTCGAATAATCTGAATGGAAGAGAAAATCCCAAAAAGGGAAATTGAGGTTGATTGGTCAATGCATAGGGTATGAAACCATGAAATAGACCATGGTTTTTTAAACACATCATTTCGTATGATTTATGTGAGAGAAAAGGATATTGGACTACTGTGACTGAGTCCACCACAGCAGATAGTTTGTTCTCACAAATGAAAGAACAGAATAATTAAAGTTACATTTAGTTCAAGTGTTTGGTTGCAGCAAAGCAAATACAAAATGGAGACGATTAATTATATCTTCTATTTTATTTTTTAAATTATATCTTGGGAAAACTGTCAAATACGCCCTTCTACTATGTACGGAAAGCCAATTAAGTCCTCGTACTTTAAAACATCCAATTAGATCCTCGAACTCTTAAAAAATGCTCAATTGAGCTATTTAACCTCTTCCGGTTATTTACATGCGTGGCAGTCCAGGTGGCAATTTATCCTCTTCCTTTTCTATTTCCTTTTGTTCTTTTTGAGTTTTTTCTCTCGTTCTCTTCGTTCCCAGCACCTTCAATTTTTTTCAGTTCCTAGCCTTCTGCAACTCTGTTTTTCTGCCTTCATTTTCACTCCCTGAAATATACAGAGTATTATGCCTTGTCGTAGATCCGAGCATCAGTTTCAATATAGGCACGGTCGACGATGGCGGCTGCGAGATCTGCCAGGTATTTGCAGTTCTCGAAAGGCTCTCTCTTCTCCTCTATTCGTTTCTTCTTTTGTCGGGTAGATCCGGCAACGTTGAGGAAGACTCCGATGAGCAGTAGGCTTCAATGGCGGCTACGGTGGAAACCACCTTCATCTCAGCTCGATTTCCGGCGAGGTTGCTTTCCGGGAAGAAGGAGAATGAGGCTGGGTACAAGAAAGAAGGAAGAGAATGACAAAAAAAGAAAAAAAGAAAGAAAGGAGGGGGGAATAGTTGCAGGAGGCGTCCAAGTTATGACCAGGTTAACGATGAGGCTCAGAAGAAAAAAGGGACCGAGAAGAAAGAAGAAAAAAAGTAAAGGAAAAAGAAAACAAAAAGAAAAAGAAAACAAAAAGAAAAATGAAAAAATTGCCACCTCATCCGCCACATCGGCTGCCACGTGTGTAGCTAACCCGGAGACTGGTCAATGACCTGCTAAACAGCTCAATTGAGCGTTTTTTAGGAGTTGGAGGGTTCAATTGAGCATTTTTAAAGTACAAGGACCTAATTGACTTTCCGTACATAGTAGGAGGGCGTATTTGACAGTTATCCCTTATATCTTCTATTCATCTTTATCTTATACTATCGTACTTCGTATAATTGCTTTTATTTAGTTTAAACTGCACGGGCAGTAGGGCACAATAATCAGAAAGAGCTGTCGTAGTTTTGCTATCGGGCAAGTCATCAAGCTGAGGCATGCTGGCTTATGTCCTACATTCAACTTTATTGTTTTTTCCTGCAATATAATCCCTATTATGTTCCACTATTCACTATTCTGGTCATTTACTCCTATCAGTGTGTGTGTATGTACACATGCTACAGCCTACATGTAATGCTGCTTGGATCATACTATACTATACTTTTTTTCAACTGTTGTCTTTTACTCTACTTCTTAAGCCAATTGATCCATTGAACATTGTTCCATACACAACATTTATATTTTTCTATACACACTGATGTAGATGTATTACGCATTTACCTCACTATTCCATTCTTCATTGAATTCTACATCTACTTATCTATTTCCATTTACTGAACACACGGGCAGAATGGCAGATAGAGAGCAATTTCTATTTCATTTGAAATTATATATCCTAGTTCAATTTGGAACTGTTTTGAGATTTGGCTATCAAACATTAACCTTGATACAGCACAAAAAGATGTGTATTGATGATGTAATGAAAAACTAATTTACCTGGCCAAATGGATCGAATAATTTCCTAAGTTCTTTCTCTGTTGCCTCAAATGCAACATTTCTCACAAGCAATTTTGTTGAACTCTTGTCCTTGCCAACTTTGCTTGGTACTTGTTCATCCTTCTTAGCATGACAAAGTTGCAAAATTAGCGCATGGCCATCTAAAACAGTTCCCTAACACAATAAAGAAACCATCAAAGAGTAGATAACCATTGAACTTGAACAAGAAAGAACCTTTGTAAGCAAACTGCAAAGCGGTGGAATATATTGCCTGCAAATCCTTGCACACATGTATTGCAGTATCCACAGAATCAAACTCAATAAATCCAAAACCCATTGAAACAACCTTTCCATTTTTTGTACGCTTTTTAACCTACCAAACATTGGAGAGCAGTGATCAAATACCTTGATGAAGCAAGGATAAAAACCCTTCAGATTGTTCAATGAATTCGTAAAAAAACTGCTAGAAGAAATCTGATAGAAATTTTACCCTGACACTCCGTATTTCACCATTATTCATGTTTCCAACGAAATGTTTTTTCAAGCTCTCATCGGATGTTGTGAAGTTCAAGTTCTTCACATAAAGTGATCTTGACTGCAAAGCGCGCACATGGAAAAAGGTGAGCAATTGAGACAATAACAACAAGTTAAGAAACAGTCGGGATGTCTAAAGAACTGACAGCATGGTTGGTAACTTGGTACAAATAAACCGGTGATGAAATGAATTCAAATCCCACAGGAAAAGAATAAATAAAGATTTCAAATTCTATTATTTAGTAGGAACTGATACACTTAACAGGAAATCACTTGCAATGACTCGTATCTAATGACATTCAAAGGGAATAAATAGTATACAACAAACAAACAACATCCAAGCCTTATTCCCAAAAGATTTTGGGGTCGGCTAACATGAATTGATCCATGATATCAGAGCCAAAAAGAGAAGCAATTAGCAATATAAGAAAAAAGATAAAAAGAAGGGATAAGATAAGATGGATAAGATAAAAATAACATAAGATAGATAAAAGATAAAAGAGATAAAGGAAGAGAAGAGATCAATCGTCTACATGTATATGCGCCCTCCACTTTACTCTCTTTAAAGTCATACTCGCATCCAACCCAAGAAGAAGCATATCAGTTCTAAATTCAAATTCCTTTAATCCAAGTCTGTTTGGGTCTTCCCCTCCCCCTCCTACCTGCCTCTTCTCCCCACCTCTCAACTCGTTTAACAGGTGCATTACTCGATAATCGAGACTCTTGCATCTTATCTTCTATAGGTGCTACTCTCACGTTTGAATGCGACATTTTTTCACCGCCCAACACTCTACGCTATACATTAGTGTAGGCCTAATTGTTCTATGAAAATGGGTTAGAGGAATTGCAATCGCACGAAATTCAAAATAACTGGTGGCAGCCCAGGGTTTCAATTACAAATTCGAGGAATTACAATTCCAAAGAGAATCAACCCCTGATACGACACAGAGAATTGGTGTGGAAAATATTATTGAAATCATAGAAAATAAGAAGAATACAGCCGAGACCAATTCGAGAGGGCCTCGATCTCTCCCAGATCCCAGTTTTCCCAAATCCCAGCCTCCTTTTCCTGACTCATCTGTTTGCCTTTTATTTCCTTTCTCCAGCCTGTCCAGCTTCCACATTTATTTAGACCACCCTTTTATTTCCTTTCTCCAGCTCAACCTGTTCAGCTTCCACATTTATTTAGGCCATTCCCCCCAAGCTTGATTCCCCCTATTATTAATAAAACTCTCCTAAAAGGGCCGGCCCTTAATTAAGTTATCGGGCCTAGAACCCTATTATTAAACACATTAAAATACTAAATGGATTCTTATTATTTGTAGATCCCAGGTCCCTATCATCACTCCCCCCTTTGACATCCACCTTGTCCTCAAGGTGGGGAGTAAGATACAGTCATGCCATTCAGCTTCATCCTCGCGCCTCTTCCTTCCCAGTACTTCAGCTTGGATAGTTTTCTTCTTTTTGTCAACCTCTCGTTATCTATGTCAACACAGTGATCTTTTTTGCCAAGGTTTTTATCTCTTTCAATGCCCCATGTCTGATCTCTTACAGAACCCATAACTGAGAATACAAAGTCAGCTTCATCATCACCAAGTGTTCTTCCTGTGTGATGCATCACGGCTGCCTTGGAACTTTCATTGTAACAAAATTGCATAGCAGACTTCCAGGCGGCTAGAGTGTGTACAGGATCAACCAGAATACCTCTCTCTCGGGTAATTATTGAATATATCTTCATTTCACCTCTCAACACATCGTCAACTTTTCTTGGATCAAGACATTTTACCCATTGAACGATGGCATCGTGATCTTTCCTCAAGAACTGGTCAGGATTAGAAAAATTAGAAGTCAAACTAGTTTCAAATAATAGACTTTCATCCTCTCTTCTATACCCCTCAAAAGTGTCTGCTAGCATGTCTGTAGTTACTTGCCACGGAAGTCCTAGGAAAACAACTCCAAATCCTAAGCCAATGGCAGTAGTTCCTGTGTCAGCGTCTACAATAACTCTTAGCAACTGATGTCTTCCAAATGCATGTTCCTGAGACAAGCAGTCCACAAGGCGCATAGCACCTAATAATCCTGGACTAATTTCCTTGTCTTCCACCTCTTGCAGTCTCAAATACTCCTGCTGATCAGGTAGAGTTCCTGTAGGTGGAGTTGTATCGTCTTCGGGATCCAGCTCCTGGACTGATGGTGCATCTGTCTTCAACTCCTTGTTCAATGTTGTAGGAGGAATTCCCTGCAATCCCTTTTCGGAATTAACGTGGTCCAGGGTTCTGCAAGGAGTGATTTGCGACAACAACTGTGAACTGGCCGAAGCCGCTTGCGAAGAAGAACTGCGAGTATCGGTGAGTGAGGAAGCCTGCGGACAGAGACCTTCTGCTGGCGACGAAGTTTGCGACGATGATGAGACATGGTTCTCAGACTTCCAACAGCGTCTAGGGTTCCTCGATCGTCCCCTTCTCCTGCTGCGACTGCCCTTAGCTTCAAGACTTTGCATCTTTTCCAGCAACAACTGCACTTTCTCGTCAAGCAAGGCTCGCATCTCTGTTCGCATCTCTTCCTTTGAACGCTCGAGTGATCTCTCCAAACTTTCAATCCTTTGTTCCATGTTTGACCGAGTGAATACCATACACAGGTACAGTGATCGAGTCTCTGATACCAATGATACGACACAGAGAATTGGTGTGGAAAATATTATTGAAATCGTAGAAAATAAGAAGAATACAGCCGAGACCAATTCGAGAGGGCCTCGATCTCTCCCAGATCCCAGTTTTCCCAAATCCCAGCCTCCTTTTCCTGACTCATCTGTTTGCCTTTTATTTCCTTTCTCCAGCCTGTCCAGCTTCCACATTTATTTAGACCACCCTTTTATTTCCTTTCTCCAGCTCAACCTGTTCAGCTTCCACATTTATTTAGGCCATTCCCCCCAAGCTTGATTCCCCCTATTATTAATAAAACTCTCCTAAAAGGGCCGGCACTTAATTAAGTTATCGGGCCTAGAACCCTATTATTAATTAAACACATTAAAATACTAAATGGATTCTTATTATTTGTAGATCCCAGGTCCCTATCAACCCCACACAATGGAATTGCTCACTTTTTTGAATGATGGGGAATGGAATCGCAATTCCCCCTACGTTCCGTGTACTTAGCACGCAAAGAAAATTCATACGGAATAGCAAAAAAAGATCATCATCAGCCTCATTTTATTTGTTTAGTTTTTTATGACACATATTATATTCATTACTGAGAAAATATAATTTAAAAAATGAGCAATATATTGCAAAATACATGAGAAGAATAAGGTAGCTCACTGTCCCTAATTAAAATTGACATCATAGTGATAGGGACCTCACTAGTACAGAACAATTACAGTAGGCAAGAAACAAACTCAAGCAACATAAATTCTCATTAATGGAGGAAAACCGTACAAGAGTCCCAATGAGCCGAAGCCCCCCAAAAGAAAGAGATAGTTCTCAATCTTCCCAAGTCCCAAATGACAAATGTAAAAACAGCCTCCTCAACCCTTCCTGGCCCTCTTCTATTTATACTCAGCTAATACACTTATTATTATTAATACTCTAATAGGCCCAGTCCCTTATTATTAGTATTAGTCTATTAGGCCCAGGTTCCTATCATTACTCCCCCCCTAACATCCACCTTGCCCTCAAGGTGGTTGATAGGACACAGCCACAATCTTCCTCTTTTCTTTCATCCTAGCCCCTCTCCCTTTCCAATACTGGATGTATTTCTGGATTCGTAGCTTGGTTGCTTCCATCTTCTTCCCTATGCCTTTCAAAACAGAGTTACACCGCTGCCAGGACCTTTTGTCCAAAACTTTGACTCCTGCAGATTCTGTGTAAACCAAGGTGCAGTTTGTTGCACCAGTGGGGACCACCAATTCATGCTTTTGAACACTTTCTCCTTCAATCTCCTTTGATAATCCTTGATAGTTCAGCCATTTTCCTTCTCCATTCATATTTATCAGGCTTTTTATTTCCTTGTAAGCTCCCGGTTGACTTGATGAGAGATCTCATTGTAAAATAACTTTCTGCCCCTGTACCTCCCATTTGAAGGTCTGACTTTGGAAACTAATCTCTATGTCCCCCAAGCTTGCTAGCCAGTCCATTCCCAAGACTAAATCAGTGTCCCCCAACTCCAGTAGATAATATGTTTGATGAATACCAATTCCTTGTACATTCAGATCCAGGCCTGCACATCTGCCACAGTTTTGGAATACATTCTCCATTCCCCATCTGCACAGAGTATCCCTTTATCATATGGTTGGGTAACTCACATTTTCTCACTAACTCTCGAGAAATGAAGTTATGTGTTGCACCATTATCTATAAGGATTTCAACCTCCTGTTCTCCAGATTTCCACTTCAAAATTCCTCTCATTTTGAAGGTTTTTATGCTTGGAATCTCCTCCTTACTCATTGAGGACAATTGCATAGTTCTGAATTCCATTTCAATTCCCTCTTCCTCCTTGGTATTCTTCCTGACAGAGTCAACTTCTTCTTCTCCTTCAGAATTTTCCACAAGAACAATTTTGTAGTGTTTCATTTTGCAGATGTGACCTCGGTTCCAATTTTCCCCACATTTGAAACAGAGCCCCTTCTTGCTTCTGTTCAATAGTTCTTCTTGGGATAATCTGGGGCCATTCCTTATCATGTTCTGCTCTTGCACTTCAGAATTTATCTTGTCATCAACTGTAGCTTTGCCCAAACTAACAGAGTTGATAGGTTTGTTCCTCCATGTATTTCCATCTCCCTCTTTATGAGGCTGACTCTTACCCTTCCATTTCATCTTCTCTTCATCTTTGTTCTTCCTAATACAGACTTCATGGTTCTTGTTTTCAATCAGAGAAGCTGTGTCCATGACAGCAGCTAGGGTTCTAGTAGTATGTAGTTTCAATTCCGCCCTTATATCCCTTTTCAACCCTTTTATAAATACTCCCTTCAATACTTCTTCAGTCAAGTGTCCCTGAGAAGCAATGGCTGTCTCGAATTTATCTCTATATTCTTTCACGCTCCCCTTTTGTTTCAGACTGAGTAAAGGTCCTAAAGGATCTTGCACCAAGTTTGGTTGGAAACGTTTGGTCAACGCAGCTGTAAATGATTCCCAGGTTTGACAATGTGCTTGCCCTTCCCACCATTGAAACCAGCTTAAGGCCTGGTCTTCCATGGCCACAACTGCAATGTCAATCTTATCCTCTTCTTCAGTGTTATTCAGTCGGAAATAACGATTCATTCTTAGTAACCATCCTCCTGCATCATCGCCATTGAATATTGGCAAATCAACTTTTCTTCCAGTGTGCTGATGATGTTGTTGCCTTCGTCGGGGATCGCGTCTGTGGAGTGACGATGATTGACCAGCCGAACTACTTGATCCATCGGAACTGTCTTAGTCCTTAGACCTTCGATGCTGTTTCTCGCGATGCATAGTAATCGATCGATGAGAGGTATGTGACCGATGCGATCGGCTTCGCGATCGGCTCGAGTTGTTTTTCTGGAATCCCGCCAGATTCGCTTGCAACGTCGCCTGCATCGATGTCTGGAACGAGGCCATTTTCTCAACCAGCTGATCCGTCATAATACTCTGCAATTCTCTCATCCTCCGATCCAGTTGATCGTTCAATTCTCTTTGGTTTCTTCCAATATCCACCATGCTTCGTTCCACCTCATTCATTCTGGCTTCCATTTTGGCGCGCGTGTATCTCATCCAGCGAACGCCAGGCTCTGATACCAATGATAGGGACCTCACTAGTACAGAACAATTACAGTAGGCAAGAAACAAACTCAAGCAACAGAAATTCTCATTAATGGAGGAAAACCGTACAAGAGTCCCAATGAGCCGAAGCCCCCCACTGAGCCGAAGCCCCCCAAAAGAAAGAGATAGTTCTCAATCTTCCCAAGTCCCAAATGACAAATGTAAAAACAGCCTCCTCAACCCTTCCTGGCCCTCTTCTATTTATACTCAGCTAATACACTTATTATTATTAATACTCTAATAGGCCCAGTCCCTTATTATTAGTATTAGTCTATTAGGCCCAGGTTCCTATCACATAGTTGAAAAGCCTAATACTATAAGCTAGCATCAAGTACATGCCCATGAGATCTGCAACAAATGTATTGCCAAAATATCAAAGTGCGGAAGTGAACATAGAAAAATAGACAGAACAATGGGATATACATTGTGAAGATAAAAGAATACCCATACAGCCAAAGTGCTAGAATAACCATTTAAAATCAGCATCATCATTACCCCAGTGCCATAAAGGCTCCCACCTATGGTGGGGTAGGGGGGTCGGATGTACACAGTCTTACCCCTGTACTAAAGCACAAAGAGACCGTTTCTGGATGACCCATAGTGAAAATCGCATCCAAAATAGAATAACCATTTAAAATAATAAAAGAAAATGAAAAATAGCTAGCTTCAACATTATGCATGCATGCATCTTGAAAAGATATGTGCAGTTCAAGATTCAAGAAAATACCTCAATTCTGTCAGGATCAACATCAGTATCTATTGTACCCTGCACTTGCTGCTCTAGTAAAACTTTCTTGACATCTTGCTCACCAGCAATCATAGAATTACTTGAATCACTCGTTGGATCAAGAATGTTGTCGGGAGCCCATTCCAAATACAATGGTACATCTCTGTGTGAAAGACATTGTACACTTCTCTCTTAGAATAAGTTTCACTTTTGGTCCTACGAGTATGACACCAATTCCACAACTGGTGCACGGCTTTGACATTGACCACTTTTGGTACATGACTATTACTTTTTGCCCAATTAACTTCGGCTACTCTTTCCTTTATTTCTTCTCCAGTTGGAGTGCATTTATCACATTCAATCTTTGTTACCAAACATCTGCTATAGTGCTATACTATTGCATATTACCTATTTTATGTTATTTTGTTTGTGAAATTTATATTGAACATTTTTCTCGATACAATCTATTGTTTCATACTTTCATACATGTTATTTTAATAATATTCTGTAATATATTATCTTATTATGAGCCCGTTTGGTCACCCTGTTTTTCGGCTTATCAGGCTTATCAACCAACTTTTTCACCAACACGTACCTTTTGATTTCGCACGCTGAATTATGTAATAATAAGAAAAAGTTAGGTTGAAGTTGCTTTTTATTGGCTAAAGTTATTATAGAAGATCATTTTAACTATTTATACATATAATTTATTTATTTTATTAATAAAAATATTTTAAATATAATGTTTTCACAAATCACATGAATTAGGCAATTCAACCACTTTAGCCAAAACATCATACATTTCAGCAAAATCAGCCAATTCAGCCAATTTCAATGTTACCAAACGAGCTCTATATGTGAATTTGAATATTACATATGGCACGACTTGTCACCTAATTGTTGCTAGGGTGGGGAGAAGAGGCAGGAAAAAGAGGGAGAGGAAGACCCAAACAGACGTGGATTAGAGGAATGAGAGTATGACTTTGGAGAGATCAAAGTGGAAGGCGGAATTTAGTGTGGAGGATTGATATTTTTTCTCCCTCTCTTTCTCTTTTATCTTTTTATCTTTTTTATGTTCTTATGTTACTTTTATCACTTATCTTTGTTATGTTCTTTTATCTAATATTTATCTTTTTTTATCTTACTTTATCTTTTTATTTTCCTTATCTTTCTTTCTTTTGTGGTTCCAATATCCAAGATCAATTTGTGTTAACAGACCCCAAAATCTTTTGGGAATAAGGCGCTGGTGTTGTTGTTGTGGAGTTTACTTTCAATACCAGGCTCTTTATATGGTCAAAAATGTGGAAACATGACTTCTTGGGGGATTATAAACCTATATCACAACTCTATTGTTTAACTTTTGTTGCTAATTGAATAGCAATCTAGCCCAATTTCCAAATATAGAGATCTTCCCCATAAGCATACAGCATCTGTGACCTACTTTTGTTTCAAAATTTTGAGATTCTAAAGAAAAACAACAGCACAATCTTTGGCCCCACTTATCATGCAAACAAATACTACGTATAAACAAGTAATTCAAATCTTTAAACTACATGTGATCAAAAAGTGACATTTAGGAACAGATGGAGTACACAAGAGGAGATTGAACATATAATCTTACTTGTAACGTTTGTAGACTAAACCATTGAATGCTGCACGTGCTTCAGCTGGTTCAAGGAACACCACCTGTACAATTATGAGACAATTTAAAACAAAATGAACTATACGTGGAGGACTGCTTCGCCAACCCTTTTATTTTGCAGTTTCCAGATTTAACATAGATTTAATATACACATCTGTCCGTAACTGTCAGATGCTTAGGCTGAATGCCGTAATAAGAAAAGAATCCAGAAGACCAATACAAGAAAGAAATTAATAACAGAAAAGGAATACAACAACAACAATATCCAAGCCTTAGTCCCCTAAAAATTTGGGTTTGGCTAACATGAATCGATACATGATTTCGAAGACAACAAGAAAAGAAAGATAACAGATATAAATAGATAAGGTAAGATAAAAAGGATAAGATAAAGTAAAGATAAAGATAAAGATAAGATAAAGAGTATGAAGTTTAAAATACATCAACTGTTTGAAATAAATCAACTATCTAGAAATGAAGGTGTAGAAGATATACCAAAGCTAAAGTTTTAGTTGCAGGAAGAATAATTTTATCTATGCCTCCAAATTTCCCAAACATATTTGCAAGTTCACTTTCCGATGATCTGTAGGGCAAGTTCTTTACTAGTATAACATGGTTGCTTCTTTTGTTTCTGTCAGATTTTCCAGCAGCAAATTCCTCTAGAGAAGAAACATTTATTCCAGCTTTCACTAAACATTGTTTTGTATCAGCGATGACTTTAGTTTCTCCCAAGGCTATACGTACAGCAAGATCAGAGGCTTCTTTATCCAGAAGATCAGATTTACTAACACCTAGTCTCCTTGCAATGCTTTCCATAACCTTCAAATAAAAGCAAATGGGAAGCATGAGATTGAAGGAAGTTCAAGATAAAAAAGGCAGAAATAATGTCAAAAAAAACCTTTGTGTGGTATTTTTATCCATTTTTAATAAAACATTTTCTACAATGTGCCATAATGTGCCTGTTGATTTTACAATATCAACCAAGAAAAGGCAAATGACTATTGATATCTCAGTTTATGGACATTTCAGTTCTGAATTTCATCTCATTATGTTACGCACTTACGCATCCAGTATAAAGTGTTGGCTACTTTTTTTAGATTTGACAGATGATAACTACTCCCTCCTCCAGTTATATAAGACCCGATTGGATTTTTCACACATTGATATTCTATTAGTGTTTTAATTTCCCTATTAAAAGGTATCAACTCTAATAAAAAGTTGTGCACATATTTCATAATGTTAAAACAGAAATGGTAAAGTAGCACAATGTAGAAAGTTATTGGAGTTGAAGGAGGGAGTAAAATTATTTACTCCATTGACAAACATCCAAAAATATCATGATGAAATTAGAAAAGGAAGTAGGTTGAATCTAGGAAGCTTGGACATTTTAATGCATATGTCTACACGATCACGCTTTAAAGAGTGTGTTCAGTGTTGTAAACTTAAACATCACACATTAGCCAACATTGAGATCATATTGAGATCATATGGCGACACAGCACAAATAAACATACAATCACATTATTGTGTGAAAATTTTAATTTATGAAGTACCTATAAATACAGTGGTCTATTGCAATGTAATAAAATCTCAATAGGAAAGCATTTTATTCATAAGAGTTTTATTGAAAATTTCAAGCTTCAACTTTATAATATTGTTTTTTTAAACCTGATAGCAACATCTACAGATCCAATATTTTAGACTTCTAAATGAAAATTCATCAAAAGCAGATTTTTTTCTGGGATACCTAAGAGAATAATTAGAAAGCAACATACTGTATCTGGGCGCATGAACAAAGCATTCCATGATTGTGTATTTCCACTTGCTTCAGCTGTCTTCCTGTTTTCCAGTCTCTGATGTTTCAATGTTTGAAGTGATAGTTTCCCAGATCCATTTACCCTGCAGAATAAACCACCAAACACTACTAATCTATAGAACAAATATATTTTGTAAAAAAGTTAGAAAAAATGTGGCAATGTTCTTGTCCATTTATGTAATAACAAATTATGTAATAACAAATTATGTTGCACATAACAAGGAAAGTAGAACAGAGAAGCCCCCTAAGTCATTGCACATAGCCACATACTTTTTGCTATAAGCAGAAAGTTTTTGCTTTGCCGGCATAACATCCAACAATCTTCCTTGAAATGTCAAACCATCCAACTCTTCTAATGCCCTGAATATGAGCCAAAATAAAATTTTAATACCTAAACATAGAGGCATGTGCGTATGTATGGTACAGTGCTACTTTTGCACCATAAACCTTAAATTAGTAAGCCATTAAAAAGAGATTGCCACAAATGGGTCACAAAATTCTGTGATAGAGTCATAGAGTAAGTTGAGTAACCCAAAGTAAAAGTTAGACCAGTAAATAGTGGCATCAGATATAGCTTGAAAAATAACTACCTAGCTGCAGATTCTGGAAGAGTGTATAGAACATATGCAACCCCTTTTGACCTTCTTGCTTCTTTATCTACAACAATATGAACTTGTGAAACCTTGCCATATTTGCTGAAATGCTCTTCTAGTTCTTCTTCCCTGAAATATCAATGGCATTGAAAACAAAAGATGATTAACCATTATTAACTGCAACATGCACTTTATATCAAATGCCTCAAGAAACTGCAAATATAAAAGTTAGCTTTATACTCCCTCCGTCCCTTAAAACTTGGCCAAGTTTGACCGACACGGGGTTTAATAAAGTAAAAAGTGTGGTTGAGGTTTGTGCAGAGGAGAGAGAATTAACTGGAGTCACAAATTCTTTACTTAAAAGGGAAAGTGGGAAAGTTAGTGGATAACCAAAAAAGGAAAGTTGGTAAAGTTGGTAAAGTTGCAAGGGACAGAGGGAGTTAAAAAAAGAAAAAGGGTCAAATAAGCCCTTCTACTATTTCCAATCCATCACTTAGCCCTTTTACTAAAAAACATCATATAAGTGCGCTTACTTTTTAAATACAATCAATCAAGCCATTTTGACCTGCAGGTTTTTTATATTAAATAAGTCTGAAAATTGTTAAATTTGAAGAAATATAGTTAACATTTGTGAAAATTTTCAGAATGCCAAAGATTGATATTTTTGAATTTTTGAAATTATTTGTATATTCTACATCTATTTAATAGGTATTTGCATTTTATATTTTATATTCTTTTACGTTTTAGCTTTATTTTTCCAGTTATCTGATTTTTATTTTTATGTTTAACATTTTAAAATTATTTATCCATTTTTACATTTATGCTATTTTATATTATTACTCCCTCCGTCCCGCTAACAATGGGACAAGAGGGAGTGGCACGCAAATCTATAAAAAGTGGTTTATGTGGTTGATATTGAATTGATAAAGTAAGAATAAAGTAAGAATGATTTAGAGCAACACAAAATTTACAAAAAATAAGGTATGAGACAATCTTAGTGGGACGGACTGAAATGGTAAAATGGGACAATCTTAGCGGGACGGAGGTAGTATTATACTATTTTTTGAAATTTATATGAATTTTTATAAGATTTATCAATAGTCCTAATTTATTTTAAAAAACTAACCTGCTATAGCAAGTCAAAATGGCTTGATTGATTGTATTTAAAAAGTAAGTGGACTTGTATGATGCTTTTTTTAGCAGAAGGACTTAAGTGATGGATTGAAAATAGTAGAAGAGTCTATTTGAGCCATTTCCCTAAGAATAAAGATGCAGATTCATACGTTGTAGCATAAAGCAAGTTGCGGATATACAGGCGCCGCCCGTCAAAAACTTCTTCATCTTTTTTAGATATATGATCGCCTAATTCAAACATTTCATCGCTACTTTCACTTCTCTCCTTTTTGTTATCACCACACGCAAGGGCATCTATATCATCACCGCTCTTTCTAAATGAAGTTTCAACATCCTTATTGCAGTCTTCATTGCTTTTACTATCATCATCACCATCATCTTCTTCATCTTCTTCACCACCTTCTGAATCTGACCAGTCCTTCACTCTTCTTTTGAAATAATCCACATCTGAAACAACATTATCGTGGATAAAACTCTTTGGTTTTACAACATTGCAACCATTCAGAGATTCATTATATTTATCACCATCTTCACCTGGATCAATTTTGACAATACTCGTGTTGGCTTTAGTTTCCTCCTGCATTTGACATTTCTTTTCACTTGACTTTTTATTGTCCGAGAGAGAGAGGGCTATAGTTGAGTCATTTGCCCACATCTTAGATTTACTTCGAGGCCGCATGACCTGGAGGAACTCTTGAAGTTGAGGGTCATCATTTTCACTTTCCTCTATTCTATGCTTATTGTCCTCTTTTAACCCCTTAAACTTTTTATTTCTTGACGAAGTTATCTCCATGTCAGCCGCACTTAGTTTCTCTTCCTTTTTTATTGAGTGCCGACTCCATGGACGTGGGGCATTTGGATCACCAAGTTTCCTGGCAATCTGACATATAGAAATCAATACTACAGGGAACACTCACAGTCTAACAGACCTACAACTTATGATTGTTATGTAAGAAAATCATCCAGAACGACAACACTTTTGAAAATTTTCATTGTCTTTAATGCGCTCTGCAAAGAGAGACGAGGCGTTACCTACTCATTATCTCATAATATGTGCTTGATTATATATTCATTTGAGGTATGATGACACCAATATCAACTATCAAGACTAAGAAGTTTTATGATCATTGAGGTCGGTGTTGTGTAGAGTGCGTGCGCACAAACACAAAACAGTCTCTTTCATGATTATGATATAGAATATTATTATATAATAACCTATTCCTTCACAAAATAACCAATGTTTTAGAGAAAATTTCACATATTAAGAACCTTTAGAAAATGACCTTATATCCTTGTTTAAGCTTAACATTAAATGCATTTTATTTTTCAAGTTACAAGTGCATTTATTTTAGGAAGATTTAAAATGAGAATATGCGCAAGATTAGTAGTATGAATGTACCCCTCTTAAATTAAAAGAATGGATAAAACTTATGAAACAGAAACTTTTTGTGGCTCACGTCTCCTCGTTTCAGAAACTTGGAAGCGTGTTGAGAACTCGGAAACTTGAAATTTCCATTTTGGGACTGTTTTCATAATCAAGAAGAATTGGAAATCTTGTTTCCCTAAATAATTAGTGTTTTAGAACCCTTGGGTATCCAATTTTTGCTTTTTGATGGGGTTATTTGATGAGAGATAGTACTTTTTGAGCGTTTTAGTGCATTTTATGTGATTTCATTCTAGCAACGTTGTGATATTTCATAATTTTGTAATGTACTGCATTGCCAGGAAAGTATTACATTTTATACTTAATTTTGTACTAGTATGTTATAGTTTCTAAATTTGAACATACAGAATGTTTTATTATCAGTAATCAAACAAAGTTATAGGGAAAAAGTATGTCCACACATATATTTATATAACAAAGTATTAATATTAAAAGAAGTCTTAAGATGAAAAATGAGAATGATTTCGTGCATTGGATTTGAGATTTGATAGCTCTAAAAGTGCCACCAATGCATTTTAACAAATGTGGTGGCATTTCGTAAATAAGTGTATGTTTATCCACCACTAAAAAGGGCAAATTTTTAACATAAAAGTGCAGTGCAGTGAGGCCAAGGTGAATATATCGCACTTTTCAGGTTTAACACACTTTTCATTTGAACCGCACTCTATATATACGATAAAATGTTTTGGCATATATATATGTATTTATAAATATCATCATCATCATTACCCCAGTGCCGCAAGGGCTCACACCTACGGTGGGGTGGGGGGTCAGATGTACACAGTCTTACCCTTGTATCAAGGTAGTCAAAGTCGTGAGGCGAACTTAAGGCGATAGGGTATTCCCAACGCCTGAGGCGCATGGCGCAAAAAAGCGCTATATGACATGATGTAAATAAAACTATATTGAACTAACTACATAATAAAGTCAGGTTTCTCACAAATAAAGTCATGTTTCACCAAAATAAAGTCATGATTAACCAAAATAAGATCATGATTCACAAAAGCAAAACAACCAAATTCAGAATTCATAACTTGAAGTCTTAAACTTTCAAACTGAAGAATAAAACATAATTAGATTTTAGATATCTAGAGTAAGAGTACAAACTATATAAGAAGGATGCTGAAAAAGTAAAGAAGAAAGCAAATGGCACAATGAAGAGTGTTGTTGCACATGATAAACCATGAGAAAACAGGTAAATAAGCCCTCGAACTATTTGCGTTTTTGCAATCAAGTCCCTGAACCGGAAGAAGTACAAATACGCCCCTCAGGCCTCAACTCATTGAAAATCAAGCAATCAGGTCCTTTTTTACCCGCTGGTGCAGGTAAGGAGATGAGAAACTACCGACACCAGCGGATAAAAAAGGACCTGATTGCTTGATTTTCAATGAGTTGAGGGGTGTATTTGTACTTCTTCCAGTTCAGGTGCCTGATTGCAAAAACGTAAATAGTTCGAGGGCTTATTTGCCTGTTTTCTCGATAAACCATTATACTTGTAGTTTACATATATTACTTATATGTTTAAGTTCTATAGGAGTGTCGTTGTATAGAGTATATGAGAAGAAGTAGATACTAAAAAATGAAAAAAGAAAAAAGAAAGAAAATGTAACGATGGAGAAGAAAGGTTACTGCTGCCAACTTCTGCAGTTGATGTGGAGGACTGGAGAAACCGAGGAGGAGCGAACAGGTAACTTGAGTCGAGCAGAACAGGTTTATGGTGTGTTGTCTAGCGTAGGTATATGCTGTTTTGACCTTATTTAGACGGGCTTTATTAAAAATATGGGCTTCTTGTTTGACAACATGTCTGAACTGTATCATTAAACTTAAAATAAAAGTGTTCCCCTATCAGGCGCGAATAGCGAGCGCCTTTTATCGCAGTTGCGCTTCAGCGCTTTTGCTATGCCTTAGGCAGGGGGCTGCGCCTGATCGTTCTTCAAGCACCGAGGCTTGTGTGCGCTGCGCCTGGTGTACTTAAGCAACCAGGAGCTCAACTTTGACTACCTTGCTCTGTACTAAAGAACAGAGATACTGATTCTGGATGACTCATAGTGAAAATTGCGTCAAAAATTGCATGATCTGACTGCTGCTTCATAACAATAGTGAGTCTTTGTCTGCATTGCAAATAATTATTTATAAATATATCCATATATTTTCTAATATTTACATGTGTGTCGTTTACCCCTCATTTTGTATCCTAACAACAACAACATTCAAGCCTTAGTCCCAAAAGATATTGGGGTCGGCTAACATGAATCGATACATGATATCACCACCAAAAGGAAAACAAAAAAATTAAAGATAAAAAAAATACGCTATTATGAAAAACATAACATAAAAAGAGATGAATATACTTAAAAATGATAAAATAAAAAGGATAAAAATAATGTTTATATATATAAAGATAAAAGGATAAAAAACAAGAAAAAATGAGGGGAAAAGATAATACGAGATCACTCCTCCACACGAATACCCACCCTCCACTTTGCTCTCTCCAAAGTTATACCCTCATCTAACCCAAGAAGAAGCGTATCATTTCAGACTTCCCTAACCCACGTCTGTTTGGGCCTTCCTCTCCCTCTCTTCCCTGCCTCTTCTCCACACATCTCAACATTTCGTATCCTAAAATTTTTAAAATTCTCTTTCTCGTAATTCACATTTGGGGTTTTTACAAAAACAATACTAATAGAGAACCTAATGACAAAAATTGGATTAGTTTAAAATTTTCAAAAAAAGAGACTAAGAAGGCTATTATACCCTTACTTTTGTCACTCGTGACACCCTCCCAATGCCCAAGTGACCAGTGACCATTCCCCAATGACCAATTCCCAGTGACTCTGGCGACAATGACTCTGCAACAGTGAGGCCACAGTGACCCAGTGATAGTGACCAATGACCCCAGTGACTTCGGGTAATGACCTTTTTTCTCCGATCACCCACTACCCCGTTATTGTCTCTCAGTGACCAATGTCATCCAGTGACCTCTGGCTCCCAGTAGCCCTAGCACCTCACCGATTTCCTATCGCTGCCAACCACCACTGCCCTCACTCCCCAAACTGATAGGCACCCAGCTAAGCAACCGACTCAATTTTTTAATAATGTATATCACAGGAGGAACCGAGGGGAGTTAGTTAAATAGCTAACTAACTAGTGTTATTACTATATCCCTGCGTGGATAAACTACTATAAATAGAATAATAATTGTTGTGGGTAGTAGGCTGTTATTTTTCTGTTGAGACTAGACTTTGGAGACCGGGCATCTCGAATAGCCCCTGAGAACTGTATCCATGTGATCTGTTCAGTAGGAGAATAAAGCCTAACAATCTGTTCTTCTCTTTTTGTTATTGAATTCACATTATTCTGAGTGTTGAATTATCAGTGTTCTATCACAAACCTCTCTACTTCCATTGCCTGCACTGCCCGCCCCTTCCTTGCCCTAACCCCCTACCTCCACACCCTGCCCAACTCTTCCCACAGCCGTGCCTCCGACCACTGCCCCTCCCCAGTCCCTGCCCGTGCCTCCAGCTCCTGCACAACCCCCCTGCCCCTGCCTTACGCCTCCCCAATCCCCAAACCACCAATATTCTGCCCCTGCCTCCACAACCCCAACACTGCCACTACCCTGCCTCCCAACTGATGCACTGTGTCTGCCCCACCCCGCACCATGACTACCCCCACCAAGGCACCAAGGCCTCGCTGGACTGGTAAATGTCCCACAAACCCCAACCATTGCCCCCATCAGCAACAACAAGATGTCATTCTCTCGCATCCCTCTAAGTCTCCAACATCGACATCCATCTTTGTTCCTGATTCCTCCACCGCCAGCAATCTCAGTCACAAATCCGTCTTCCTAATCCAATTTTTCATTTTTTTAAAAAACATAATCTAATTTCTAAAAACATGATTTCAGAAATCAATGGGACAGAAGAGTGATGTGATTCCCGGCGATTGAAGCAGCAGGCAAGGGACGGCTGGACGGCCTAAGCTCTTCTTCTCTCGTTTGCCACCGCTGCAGCAGTGGTTTAATCTCTAGGCTTTCGTCGCATTGCTTTTACACTGAAGTAGAGGGCTGGCGGTGGAGGAAAACAGTTATAGAGCCGATGACAGGAAGTGCGGCAGCAAGGCAGCGATCACGTCCGCGGCAGGATGTGCGGTGGCACTGTGGCAGTGGTTCCTTGCACGTCAAGACAATGGATATGGCTGAAGGTCTGAGATGCGGGAATATAAAGTTCAGCATAGAAAGGGTTAAATTAGATTAGGGTAGTTCAGTCCATTCATTATTTAATAGTCACATTTTTGTCATATTTTAAATGTAGTCTTGTATTTGTCCAATCAAAACTCAAAGGTAATATTCTTGTCATTTTCTCTTCATGTTTACCATTCCGCGCTTCCATACTACATAAGGCAATGCGCCAATTCATTTGGGACGGATAGTAATAATATTAATACTTCCTCCTTATGCTATTGATTGCTACAATTGGCACAATATTTAAGGGGAAAAAAGAGGAGTAGTAAACAGTGTAAAACAAGTAGGAGAGAATGGTGGAATAGTTTGAAAGAGAAAATGAAAAAGTAGAAAAGCTAAGGGTAATTGAATATTTTAAAGGGAAAACTTAGAAAAATGGGAAAGTGTATCAAAAATTAAAATACACCCCAAAAGGAAAGGAAAGTGTAGAAAATAAAAGAATACAGAGGGACTAATAATTTTTGTAACAATAATGTGGGAAAATCATAGTAACAATGACTCTATTTGACATTAGAGTCATCACAAAAATAAGATGTAACAAGAAGAGTGAAGGAACCAATAGCTAAAGCAGGATTACACAAACCTCGCAAGTAATTTGACAAGTATCAAGGAAAGACCTATTGAAGTACTTGATTGCTTCGTCAGCTTCTTGCTCCATCCTAAATCCAACGAATGCGAACTGTCTACTCTTCCCATCTCTATTTAAAAATGCATTCACAAAATAGTGTATTAAGTGAAAACACCAATAAACATGAGAGGTCATATGTAGATTCATGTACATAAGTAGATGTACTTCATTACATACAATAAAAGGTAGGAATCCATAAAACCATTCGAAAAAAGAAATTAATGATCTTACGGGGTGCGCATGAGCTTGGCATCAGTAACTTCTCCTTTCTCGGAGAAGAATTCTCGGAGGCGGTCCTCTGCAACATACTTCGGTAAATTCTTCACGCAAATACGTGACCTTCATAAAATGTTGACATTTTCTTTCATTCGCATTCTATATATTTAAAGAATCCAAATATAGCTCTGAAATGCATCTAGAAATTCAAGAGAAAAGGAGGCAAGCATACATTGCTCGGAAGATGAAGACTTGAAATAGGTTCTGGACGACTTTGGCGCAAGATGACTGCTATGGCAGGTGAACACTGAAATGGATTTGAGTTTTAGGCCAACTAAACTACAACTCTGTGCTAGTATAATCTACAGTTCTCTTCGGGGCGAATCAAGCATTTCAATTTAGTGTGGGCCAAAAATGTAATACATGTAAAATTACTTCACTTGCTTCTTCCTCAATAGGTTTAAAGTATCTCTTTAAACCAATCTTCATTAGCTTCTTCAATTGTACTTGTTCTAAATATAGTTTCACAATGGCTTCAAAATTTGGAGTTTCTTTTCGTGAGACATGACAAAAATAATAATTAAAATAGTAATAATAAACTATTTTTACATCCTAAAAGCAATATATATCGCACTGCATCATATCTATTACCCTTAAGAAAAAATGCAATATGCACAGTTCACCTTGACCTATGTACACTATGAGAGTATGAGCCTCTTTGGTAACACTCAAATCGGCTGAACCTATTGGAATTGAAGAATTCTGGTTGAAGCTGCTGAATTGGTTGAATCTACTGAACCATGGAAAAATTATACGGAGTATTTAAAATATATTTTATTAATAATAATAAATTAAAGAAAAAATTATATGAAAAATAGCCAAAATGGTCCTCTAGAGTAACTTCGGCCAATTCAGCAAGACAAACAACATCAACCTTATATATTTTGATTATTATACAATTTAGGGCGCGAAATCAAAAGTTATGTTTTTTGGTGAAAAAATGGCTGAAAACAGGGTCACCAAACAGACTATATGTTGCAAAAATAATCAAATAAGCATTATTCTGGGCTTTCATATACCATGTGGTTTTTCCTTTCCAAGACACCAAATGTTTAGGAAAACACTTATGAATTTAGAAATACTGAAGCAATTTAAAAAAATCATAAACGCAAACTATCTCAATCTATTCTTATGTTCTACAGTTCGAGTGCACGAAAATGTAAATGTGCTGCATAGATAATAACTACATAGATAACCACATGTTCTGTGCATAAACGAATCAATTGATGAGTTCAGGCATCACAAAATAATACGGAAATAGACTATAAAAAGAAAAATAACATATTAAATTCATCCGAATGTTCTGGGTATGAACAACTCAATTGATAAATTAAAGCATGTTAAATGTATTTAAAAGGGATTAGAACAAGACACCTCAATTCTTCAAAGCCAGGGGCCCTGTCTTATTTTTTGCCATCACCAACCAGGCTGAAGTCGAAAGTAGCCAACTCCCCAAGTGCCCAAGTCGGAATCTTTTGTGTGCTTCAGCTTGTGGCGGGAGGAGGCGCGGACGTCTGGTGCTTTTAGGGGCGTAGCCAGGACGGATGTTTACCCTGGGCCGACTATACACTAAAAACATTTTTTAAGCAAACTAAAAACATTATATAAAAATTGTAAAAGCGACAATTAAATTCCAACCAATTAAATAAGATCATCTAATTTCATCCCTTTTCTCTAACGGCCAATCACCTATCGTTTTGCGTTTTTCAAGTGCATCAGAAACTACTTCCTCTTGAGCAGATGAGATATTAGGAATTTCAATTGAAACATTTAACTCTTGTCTACTTTGTGTGCTTGTATTAGGCTTGTAAAACGAACGCAATGTGATTTTTGTCTTTTTGGAAGTAGATTGAGTAGCCATACCTACTAAAATTACCAAAAAGAAATAAAAAACTAATCAAATATTTTATTTTAATTCATATAATTCATATTAAAATTTTAAAAAATTCACAATTTTCTATTTCACAATTCAAAGCACACAATTACACCAAGTCACTAGCACAAACTAATTTAACAAATAAAATACGCAATTAATCTAAAAATTGTAAAAAAGAAAAAGAAAAAAGAAACCCTTACCTTGAAGATGAACAGATGAGCAAAACCAGTGAGCTTGAAGAGAGGAGAAACGCCAAATTATTTATGTCACTTGTGTCGAGAATGGAGTCCAAGAGAGAAGAAGACAACTTTAATTCCTTTGAAGCACTCAAGAGTCAAGCCATAGCTCTATCCACGTTGATTGTTAAATTAACAAGAATGCACATTTATAACTATAAGCTAAACAGAGCAATTAACATGAGCATGAGACAGACCTGAGCTAATACAGCTGCAATGGACATCCCAAAGGAAGAGCGAGGGCATCAACATCGTCGGCTTCTTTTCCTTACGTGCGTTACCCGTCTTTGGGCAGACCTGAGGAATCAGCTGGACTCTTATTTTGTACTGGGCCAAATGTTTCTACACTGGGCCGGTTTTAATTTTGCACTGGGCCAATTCTAATAAGAAATTAAACTATGGGAGATTCTATTTGCAGCCCCCATATTGCTAATCACAGCCCCTAAATTACTTCAAATATCTTATTTGCCCTTATAATCATATCGCATCAACACAGTACGAAATAAAGAAAAGGCAAAAAAAGCAACTCATCCCTCACACTCAATTTCGGCCTCCTCATCAAGCTGCGCAACCTTCCTATGCTCTTCTATGGCCTTGAGGGTCTGCAATTTTTAGTAATTGTAGTAGCCACATCAAGACCAGGTCATATTCCAACAAACTAGATTTTCACCTGTGCGTTGCACGGGATTAATATTTCTTATTGTTGATTTTTTAAAATTGATACACAAACATGAATTAAATAACGAATCTCTTACATTATACTCCGTAGTTGTGATACATGTTCATGTCGAGAAATATTTCAAAGTATTGGACAACAATAATGGTTGATTGCTCCTGTTGGGTAAATGGCCCAAACGGGGGTTTGACCCATTCTCCCTAATTAGACGAACGTCTTGGGCCCAGAGGAGTACAGCCCAAGGAACGGGAGACGAACGTCTCCTCCCCTGGCCTAGCAACGGAGAGCCCAGGCCGAAGGTCATCCAATGCTAGGAGGCGTCGCCACCCAGGGTCCATCTCAGCAGACGGCCCAGTCCCAGCGCCAAGGTAAATTCTACCAAGGGTCCATAGGCGGACGGCTAGAGGCTCCTTGCTGCTTTAGTAGGGGCGACCCCGGATCTAGCTGGACGAACGTCGTCACGGATTAAGCGGGAAACCCAGATTCTGGCGGGAAGCGCATTTAATGATGGAGATTTGGTGGTTGGGACTCCATCCACTCGTAATCCTCCACGTCAGCATAACCAACTGTCCATTGGTGGGTATAAATAGAAGCATTTATTTCATTGTAAAGGGTTAGCAACTTTCTATTCTGAGTGCTCTAGCTTATAGTCTTCTTACTCGCAGCTCTTCTACTGCCTTGTAAGACGAACGGTCGACGAGCCTTTAGCGAAAAGTATTGTATTGGGGAGTTATTAACAGATTAATAATACCTAAACATTCACTTGCTACTTACTGTTTCTTAATCCATCTCACTTGTTAGTTGGGCTAGTTTATTCACACACACTCCACTCGAAATCCTTGGGCTTACGTGTTGGACCCGGGGGTTGAAGGAATAAACCTCAACAGCTCCCTTCATTAGACATTATTATAAACTTAATTTTAGGAATAATGGTCTCAATAATATTTAGATAGAAGTTTTATTGGTTTATATTTACTAACTTGCATCCGTTTATAAAAATTGAATGATGCAAAAAAAAACCAATGCTTTTGAAAGATGCCCCTACCCCTAGTACATTCATGATATCACATAAATACCAAAACCATACACATTATACGTCAAACATATACTTCTAAATATTTGAATTTTAAGGGGAAAAAAACAGACACAGTTGGAGCCCGTTTTGGAGATACTATTTTTTGACTTCTGAGTCTTATGAACAAACTTTTTCATCAAAAAAACGTAATTTTTAATTGGAGGAAATAACTTAAATACTTCAAACTTTGATGGAGTGGATAAGTATATGTAATATATATACCCGAACTTGATTAAGTATACAAATTTATTGGAATAATTACATAATTTAGAATACTCTAAGCTTTGTTAGAATGCATTTAACATTCTAAAATTTCATTTGTGAAATAAATAATATTACATTTGTTACAATTTAATTTTAATTGCATCCTCATAAGTGTTCTGTGTATTTTAAATTATGTAATGAACACCATAAAATTATATTTGTGAAGAAATATATCATCATGATGTTAAAAATAACCCTTTGTATAAAGTTTAAGGTATATATATTACATGTGCAAGTTTGAGATACTTATCTCACACTGCCACACTCCTTCAAAATTTGGGATATTTCAACTATTTTCCCCTTTTTAATTTCACGCGTTGAATTGTATAATAAAAAAAATAAGTAAAATATAAGTTACTTTTCTGACTGCATTGACTGAAATTGATGTTTGCATTGACTCAAATTGTTGTTGATGCACATTTTTAACATCATAAAAATAGGCAAGCTATTCTTCAATCTGAACTCCATTGACATTGTATCCAATATTTTACTGTTAAACAGAATCCCACTCAAAGATTACGTTAAGTTTACAAAAATGGATGGTAGACTGAAACTGTTCCAACTGAAAAGATATTACTCGTATCTTGTAAAGACATAAGGCACAGGTATGAAAAACCAATTATTTAACGCAAACGTCAAAAAGGAAGCACACCAAATAAGACTAAAAGATAGTTTACATTCATATACATGATTATCCATCCTTGTTTTCACCTAGAAATAGGATACATTCATTAAACTCTAAAAAAATAACAATTAGTTAGTACTTGTTCTCAAGTTTGCATATGTACATGTGATCACGTGAACATCTCTATAAGCAGGTTGACACAAAAGGAACATGTAACGCTTTGCAATTGGCAAATGTTCGATTCATATGTGTAGATAGAACATGGATGGGGAGTATCGGATAATAACTCTGCAATCAATTTACATCATAGACATATAATAAAAGTACATTAAATAGTAGAACTGTATCACTCAGAACAATAAACCTTTTGAGCTCTCAGAATTAAGAAAGAGGTGAGGAAAACTCACCGTAAAGTGAAGTATTGGTCTGTTTGAAAATGCAGATCTCAGTTACTATGCAAGCATAATTTTATTCCATGAATCTATCATGCAAGCAATTTCATTCGGCTTTTCATTATCCAAATAATGCTTTTCCTTCCACCCTAATATACAAATGCGGAGAAGGGAAGGTGAGAAATGGAGTGAGCGACCTTTAGAAATAGCAAGAAGAAATGGGTAGGGACTATGAGCTGTAGATCCATTACTGGATCGTGTGGCTGAATATGTTCAATGCTTGAGCGGGAAAGTGAAATCCACAAAGCACTGCAATTATATAGGAGTAGAATTACAATGACAATTAAATCTAGAAGTTAAACCGAACAACATTGGAACAACATTTATTATTTAATATTAAACTTATAACAACTACTCCGTATTATTTACGAAGTGTTGGAAGAAACACACACTCAAGAAGGCAAGAATATAGTGAAAGTGTGTTTCTGCTCAATCAATGTGTGAGGATACAAATTTGGCATAAGTGTTTAATAAGTACTAAAGAAAATCTGAATAAAATAATTTGCCAATGGACTATCTAACAACCATGAAGTGAAATTTTGGAAGAAACTTAAAATAACCTAAAGATGGAATGTAATCAAAAGTATGTATTGAATGAATTTTTCAGGGTGCAAATTTGACATGAATGTTTATCAAGTTTTAAGACAATCTGAATAAAAACATTGGCCAATGGACTATCTGACAGCCATCAAATGCAAAAATGAGAAAAGCGTAAAAAGACATAAAGATGGAACATGATCATATATTAATTAACTACTTTTTAAAAAACTCACGGGTTAAACCCCGAGTAATTGATTCTTTAAAAACAATTAAAAGAACATATATATCAATATAAAATATTCATATAAAGCTTAATTATTTGTTGCAAATATCAATACAAAGTTAGATTTTCTTTCAGGTAGATAGGGTGAAGCTTCCCCAAATCACGTGTTAGTCTATCAGGTAAAGAAGTAATGATGCTTTAAATATGCACATTGAATATGCTATTAGCTTATTTTACCTCTCGAATTGTGGAACTAATAATGCCAAATATAGGTAGCCAAAGGGAATAAAGCCTGGGAAAACATCTTATAAACTCTATCGGGACTTCCAATGTCATCTGCAATTATAGAATATATAAGGGGCTTTCTTATAGCATCACGAAGATGAATCCAGTAAAATTCATGATAGATATTTTATCTATGAATGTAATATAGAACTATATCTCGATTAAAATTCAAATTTAGCAGGATCTTTTAAGGTTAAAAGAATATGAGGTAAAACACTATGGATTCCTGTGAGGGAATTAGAAAAAGATTTGCTTCCGAGCTTTCAACTCGGAACTGAGATCCACTTTACTCTTAGAAGGATTACTGGTAAGTATTGTAAATGGAAAAATCGGTTTATAAAGATTTTCAAAAATCATATTTGATAAATTTCAATCAGGCCAAATTACAACAGAAAAAACAAATGTTGGAAAAATTAGAAGAGGTGAACTAAACACTAACAATGATTTGTTATGCTTAAAGATATTTAGCTTTCTTGATTCTTTTATTATTTGAGTTATACATGTATCAAGTAGGTCTCAATACTTTTAGAGATTTCATGATTCTCTTATGATTACATTTAATTTAATCTACTTTTAAGTTTTAAATGTTTGTTGATATGATGCACAGCCCCTTATATTTAAATGTTTAAATGTAATACCTGTATCAAATAGGTCTCTTATAAGCACAACCCCTTATATTTAACTTTTAAATGTAATATAGAACCATGACTGTAGAAATTGTTTTAGTTTTCTGTGTCTACATTTAAATCACCTGAAAGGCTGAAAACAAAGAAAAGTAAAACAATTTTTTTAATAAAATTAAAATAGGTCACATCCATACATGTTAGTCAAGGAAACTAAGAGCAAAAAGAAAAGGCAGGTTAGATAAAACTAAGTTTCACTTGTTAAGTTGTTATGCATTGAAACTTGTGAGAATGTCAAATAAAGAAAAACCGGAACCAATAATTGACTGAGTGTGGAACAGAAGTTAGAGATGTGAGGGAGAACTGAAATACTACCTTAATAGAAAAGGTTTATTGAAAATTAAATCACCATAGACCATAGCTGCAACTTGATGGTTTAATTGAACACTTTAAAAAGCCCAATTCTACCGTAAAATGAAAAAAAAAACTTTATCTTGAAATTTACGTTCCTACTTCACCTTAAAATCCTTT